GAAGTCCTGCTTGTTGATTTCCCTTTTGTGTCTCCGTGTCCCCCATTGTAGAGCATAAGCCTCAGAAGGGCAGGGGAATTTGTGTTTGGCTTACTTTGTTTCCCCTCCCAATTTCTTTCTTTTTTTTTTTTCCAATCCCTTGTGTGAGGGCTGACTTTGAATAGATCGCAGTGAGGGAGCTGCTCTGCTGCTTACGAAACCGCGACCCAGAAGCAGGTCATCTATGAATGGTTTAGCGCCAGGTTCCCCACGAACGTGTGACGGGCGAGGGGGCGGCAGCCTTTCCGGCCTCACCCCGTTTCCCGGGACAAGGGTTACTCCACACCGAACCCCAGTCCCTGCGCACAGCGGGACACGCCCTGTGCGGGGCGGGGCAGAGCGGCCCGCTGGCGGGGACGTCATGGAACCAGCTATCCGAGGCCACCTGAGGCCCTGCTGCGCTGCCGTATCTTTCCGCCTGGGTGGGATTCTGACTTAGAGGCGTTCGGTCATAATCCCACAGATGGTAGCTTCACCCCATTGGCTCCTCAGCCAAGCACATAAACCACGTCTGAACCCCAATTTCTTTACTGTGGTAGAACATCCATCATAGAAAACGTACTATCGTAACCATGTTGAGTGTACAGTAAGTGGTATTCCGCGCATTCACAGCGACGCACAGCCATCCACACCATCCATCTCCAGGACTCTTCGTCTTATAAAACTGAAACTCTGCACCCATGAAGCAACAACTCTGCATTTTCCCCTTCCCAGACCTTGACAAGGACCATTCTGCTTTCTGTCTCTGTGAGTCTGTGACTGGCTTACTTCATTCAGTCAGCATCAGGTCCTGGAGTATTCATTCTGTAGCATGTGTCAGTATCTCCTTCCTGTCCCAGGCTGAACAATACGCCCCTGTACCACTGTGTGGATGTCATTTTGCTGACTCCCATCTCACCAGCGTCTGGATAGTCCCTTTTGAGACGGGGGCTTGTTCTGTCACCCAGGCTAGAGTGCAGTGGCATGATCATGGCTCACTGCAGCCTTGACCTCCTGAGTTCAGATGATCCTCCTGCCTCCACTTCCCGAGTAGCTGGGACTGCAGGTGTGCACCGTTAAGTCTGGCTACTGTTTTTGTTTGTTTCTTTATTTTTTATTTTTTGAGACGGAATTCTGTTCTTGTCACCCAGGTTAGAGTGCAATGGCACAATCTCACTGCAACCTCCACTTCCCAGGTTCAAACGATTCTCCTGCCTCAGCCTTCCAAGTAGCTTGGATTACATGTGTGTGCCACCATGTCCAACTAATTTTTGTATTTTTAGTGAGACAGGGATTCACCATGTTGGCTAGGCTAGTCTCAAACTCCTTACTTGAGGTAATCCACCCACCTCAGCCTCCCAAAGTGCTGTGATTACAGGAGTGAGCCACCACGTCTGGCCCATTTTTTAATTTTTTTTAAAGACTAGGTCTCTCTATGGTGCCCAGGCTGGTCTCAAACTCCTGAGCTCAAGCGATCCTCCTTCCTGGGCCTCCCAAAGTCACCATGCCCAGTCAGTGCCTGAAACATAATTTGAATGAGCAGAAGGAACATAGACAAGGAAGGCTGGCCAGCTGGGTGGAGGCCAACTACAGATAATATTGGAAAGTATGTCAGGCACGTGCGTCAGACGCAGGGCTAACATCCTTCTGTTAAAAACAGCTCACAGAGGTACCACTTGAAAACTAGGGGTGTTCACAGAGCAAGAAGTAATAGTTGCTTGTAAATACATACAGCATTTTCTATCTCATTACTTTTTTTTTTTTTTTTTTTTTTTTTTTGAGACAGAGCTTTGCTCTTGTCGCCCGGGCTGGAGTGCAGTGGCACAATCTCGGCTTACTGCAACCTCATCAGCTCCTGGGTTCAAGCAGTTCTCCTGCCTCAGCCTCCCAAGTAGTTGGGATTACAGGCACCTCCCACCACCACGCCTGGCTAGCTTTTGTGTTCTTAGTAAAGATGGATTTTCACCATGTTGGCCAGGCTAGTCTCAAACTCCTGGCCTCAAGTGATCTGCCCACCTTATCCTCCCAAAGCTCTGGGATTACAGGCGTGAGCCACCGTGCCTGGCTATATTTCATTAATTTAAAAAATATCCTAAAACAGGCCGGGCGCGGTGGCTCAAGCCTGTAATCCCAGCACTTTGGGAGGCCGAGGCGGGTGGATCACGAGGTCGAGAGATCGAGACCATCCTGGTCAACAAGGTGAAACCCCGTCTCTACTAAAAATACAAAAAGTTAGCTGGGCATGGTGGTGCGTGCCTGTAATCCCAGCTACTTAGGAGGCTGAGGCAGGAGAATTGCCTGAGCCCAGGAGGCGGAGGTTGCGGTGAGCCGAGATCACGCCATTGCACTCCAGCCTGGGTAACGAGAGCGAAACTCCGTCTCAAAAAAAAAAAAAAAAAATCCTAAAACAGGCCGGGCGCGGTGGCTCAAACCTGTAATACCAGCACTTTGGGAGGCCGAGGCGGGTGGATCACGAGGTCGAGAGATCGAGACCATCCTGGTCAACATGGTGAAACCCCGTCTCTACTAAAAATACAAAACATTAGCTGGGCATGGTGGCGCATGCCTGTAATCCCAGCTACTCAGGAGGCTGAGGCAGGAGAATTGCCTGAACCCAGGAGGCGGAGGTTGCGGTGAGCCGAGATTGTGCCATTGCACTCCAGCCTGGGTAACAGGAGCGAAACTCTGAAAAAAAATATATATATATATATTTATTTATTTATTTATTTATATATATATATATATATTTATATTTATATATATATTTATATTTATATATATAATAAAAACAATGAGAGACAGTGTTATCTGTCAGGTTGGCAGAGACTCTTGTAGAATGCAGGTGGAGCCAGTCTGTGATGGCAGCAGGCATTCCCATGACTACTGATAGCTGTGTTTCATACGAGTTTTCTGTAAGGCATTTAGAGCCTTTAAAATGACATATGCAGCCAGGCCCAGTGGCTCACGCCTACATTCTTAGCAGTTTGGGAGGCCAAGTCAGGTGGACCACAGTTCGAGACCAACCTGAAGCCTGTCTCTACTAAAAATATAAAAATTGGGCGTAGTGGCGGCACCTGTAGTCCCAGCTACTCGGGAGAAGACAGGAGAATCGCTTGAACCCGGGAGGCAGAGGTTGCAACGAGCCAAGAGTGCACCATTGCACTGCAGCCTGGTGGACAGAGCAAGACTCCGTCTCAAAAAAAAAATAGGGTTTCTCAAACAGGTGAGCCTGTGAGATGCACATTATATTCCTCTCTGGGAGGCCCTAACACACGTTAAGTCTAACTACAGACAGCCCGGCTATGACAGTGGACCTGGTGCCACAGACAAAAGCAGATGAAGCCACTCTCCTCAGGCAGTGGGCAGTGCGCAGCACGCACCTGCAGGCTCTGAGGAGGAGGTTCCAGCGCCAGCCCCGTGATCGCCCCACTGCTTACCTGGGACATTTCCCACGCAGAGCACAGTACTTCTAAGTGGAAGAGGCAGAGACCAACATCTCTGATAGCGGCCATGTGCAAGACAGGGCTCTGGGGAGAAGGGGGGCTGTGCAGAGCAGGGGACACCCCATTCGGGCCCAGCTGTGGGCAAGGCAGTGTGGGCCCCAGACTAGAACGACCCTGCCTGCACTCCGTGCCACACAGACAGTCCCCGTCCTAACCTCTCCATAAAAGGAGTCGAAGTCTGTCGCCCTATAAAGAGTGCCCCTGGCTCTGCCCGTTGTAGGTTCGCGGTCAAGTCCGGCCGCCGCCTCAGGAGCAGTGGCCCTGCTCTTGCCACCGTGGTGTCGGGCAGCTCTGAACATGTGATTTCTACACTCAGGGTGATTGAAAGTGAGGGTCAGACCAACAAGGTGTGAAGCTGGACTGGCTCCCCTTGTTCTGGGCTCCATGAGTGCTCCTGAACTCCGATCACGACACCTACAAGCAGCCATGTGCTGCCTCCAGCTAGGCTGGGAGCTGGTGGTGATGTCTTGTTCCAGCTCCACAGCTGGGGACATTGCTCATGTTGCTGGCATGAAATCAGCCATGGTGGGGATATTTAGACCACAGAAGTTGGCAGACACTACTCATGAGGGCTTTTGTGCTTTTCGGGGAGCTGGTGGTTAGACGTTGGCTGGCACACCGGTCTGAAGCCTGGGAGCTCCCCACATCCCCTCCCACCCTCTCACCTCAGCCTTACCGGATGCATCCTGTTGGTTTTCCTGGTGCTGTCGGCGCTCACCAAGGTATTCTGTTGTCCCAAAATTCATCCAAGTACAGGAGCCACATGCATCCATTGGACAGGGGTGGACTGCATGCCCGTCATACACGGAGTGACGTCAGAGTCACTTTGTAGTCTTGTCCTGACAGCACTTTTGAAATGCGAGAGAACTCTTCCTGCCAAAGGCAGGTCCCCCCAACTGGGCATGGCAGGGCCAAGATAGTAAAATGCAGTCTGCCCTGAGCCTGCCACTCAGACCTCTGACTCCCACCTGCCCGTGATCTGTATTCCTGAACATGGTATTGGGCGAAGGCAGCAGCCGGGACTTCCTTGTGGAGAGAGCCACAGAGGTAACTTACAGAAGAGTGGAGAGCTGTAGGTAGAGCAGTCTGTCTGCTGTGTCCCGGTGGCACCGCAGAGTCCGGCCTTGGGGACGATGGCCGCTCTGCTTCGACACTTGCCTGTGGATGAGTGTGGCAGGCAGGCGGCCAGTCCTGCTTGGTCTTCCTCTGCTGACCTGAACATGGGTTTGCCCCGTCATGGTGACTGGCCCAGGGTTGGGTATGGATCGGTAACTGGCACTCGGGATGCTGCTGGAGGTGGCCAGGATGCACCAAAGGGTGATGGAAGGTCCCACGAGGTGCTGAGGAAGACCCAGAGCTGCTCACCTTCTGAGGGGGAGGGAGGAGGGTGGGTAGTGGCCCCCTGACCGGATCAGGGCTGTGGGCTGTGAGGGCGCGGCTGTTTGGTTCTAAAGGCTTTTCTCCCGTGTGTGTCCTCAGATGAATGACAATCTTCTTGAGAGCTGGAGTGACCTCGACGAGCTGAAGGGAGCCAGGAGCCTGGAGACGGTGTACCTAGAGCGGAACCCCCTGCAGAAGGACCCCCAGTACCGGAGAAAGGTCATGCTCGCCCTCCCCTCTGTGCGGCAGATCGACGCCACGTTCGTCAGGTTCTGAGTCCTCCTTGCTCCTCACGGGGTCCCTGTCCTCGGAAGAACTGCCCAGCCAGTTTTTTAACCTACCTGTTGCTCCTGAGGTCGTCACTGTATCAACAGTCACAAACCCAATGGCAGTAAAGGCACTGACATAGCTGACGCGTGACGCACGCGCATTTTCAGATGCCATTGCAATTAAACCTTGCCACAAGTCCTCCTGGGTGAGTGTCGACAGTTATTGTAGCCACAGGGAGAGTGCTGGACACGTCGTGTTCGTCTGCTAGAAATTCCTTTGTTTCCTCCTCTCAGGAGGCGGTCACAGGCCCCACCTGAGCCGTGCGAAACACAGGGCCTAAGGGTGCTTCACGGCATTCACGTGCAGTCCGGGTGGTGCTCCGGAGCTGGCCCGGCTGGCCTCAGTCCCGGTTAGCAGGGTTCAGGCAGGCCTGACTGCAACAGCTGAGGTTTTTTTAGTCTTTTAAATCAGACAAGGCCCATTTTTAAAAATTACGTAAGTTTAAAAAAAAGCATGGGTAAAAGCTGCCTGAGGCCTGTGTGCTGTGTTGCTTAGAGCTGTCCTTTAACAAGCGCCGGGCAGGCCAACTGCTTTCACGTGTGCCTGTCAGTTCTCGCCGCAGCTTAGGTGGGTGTGGGTGAAAGCTCAGGTGTGGGGAGGGCGCCCCACGTCCGCACGGTCTGTACTGCTGCCAGAGTGCGAGCCCAGTGAATCTCCACAGACGGCCCCCAAGGATCGGAACTCTGGGCCCCTTGTGCAGTGGCCTCCGGTTCTCACCCCATTGTTTTGGCTTTTTTAATATAAAATGTACATTGACAGACACCCGAGGTCTAGACTTAATGCTATCAGGACTTCGTCACCTCCCAGGGTCTCAGATTTCTTCTGCAGAATGAGGGCCACATCGTGTGGTCACCAAGGTCCCTTCTGCTTCTGGAACTCTGGAACTGTGCTGTCCACTGTGGAAGCTCAGTGAAGACCCCGTGCTTGTGCCACGCTCGCCACACCCGAGCTCAGCAGCCGCGTCTCACTGGGGCAGCCTGCTCCCTCATCCCAGAAAGTTCTGCTGCCCAGCCGCTCCTGGTTCTGTGAGCCCTCCCTGGGACGAGTGGAGCAGGGATGTGCCCAGAGGTCCCCAGGCTGACTGTCCGTCCAGCTGCCAGGGAGGCTCCAGGCAGCACAGTGGCTAACGTGGGGCTTAAGGTCCTGTTGCCTTACTGATCCAGTCGTCCTTAGAAGACACTGTAAGACCTGAATCTAGGAAGCAGCTACCTGTCGAGAAGCAGAGACACTTCAGGAGTGATGGGGCTGGGGTGTGGCCCCAGATCCTGACCCTAGAATTCTGTCCCCAGCCAAAGAAGGATTTTAGGCACGTGAGTATTTAGGATATGAGTGCCCTGGCTGAGAAATCGTTCAGAGGAGCCCTCCACCAAACAAAACATGAATCCAAAGAAAGAACTGAAGAAAGGAAAAGATGCAATTTCAGAGCAGCCAGTGGCAAGCACTCAGACCAACAAAACTTTCACTCCGAACAGTGTATTTGGTCTGGGCATGGTGGCTCACGTCTGTAATCCCAACATTTTAGGAGGCCGAAGAGGGATGATCACTTGAGCCCAGGAGTTTGAGACCAGCCTGGGCAACATAGAGAGACCTTGTCTCTACAAAATAAAGAAAATTAGCTGGGCAGGGTATCCCACACCTGTAGTCCCAGCTACTAGGAGGCTGAGGTGGGAGGACCCAGTGGAGCCCAGTTGTTCAAGGCTGTGTGAACAACACTATGATTGTGTCACGGCACCCCAGCCTGGTGACACAGTGAGACCCAGTCTCAAAAAAAAAAAAGTTTTGTTTTTGTTTTTGTTTTTGTTTTTGTTTTTGTTTTTTTGAGATGGAGTTTCACTCTTGTTACCCAGGCTGGAGTGCAATGGCTCGATCTCGGCTCACCGCAACCTCCGCCTCCTGGATTCAGGCAATTCTCCTGCCTCAGCCTCCTGAGTAGCTGGGATTACAGGCACGTGCCACCATGCCCGGCTAATTTTTTGTATTTTTAGTAGAGACGGGGTTTCACCATGTTGACCAGGATGGTCTCGATCTCTTCACCTTGTGATCCACCCGCCTCGGCCTCCCAAAGTGCTGGGATTACAGGCTTGAGCCACCGTGCCCGGCCCAAAAAAAGTTTTTAATGTGGTTATGAAGCTTTCTGGAAATGCCATGGCAGAATTCTTAATGAGATACAAAATTTGCCCCTACAGAGCAATTGATGATCTGAAGCACAAGATTCTTTTTTCTGGAGGTAAGAGAAGAGCAAGTAAAAGGAAAGGTGGGGCAGGATTCTGTCTGTGCAGAAGGGAGTGATTTCTTATCAGTAAAGCTTACGGGAAACGTAGGGTTAAAGTAACATTAATAGAACAGAAACAAGTTGTGAAACATCCAACTCACAAGTAGGAGACAAACCAGAAACCTTACCTTCAAGCAGAGAGGACACAGGAGGAAGGAGCAGACGCCCCATCAACAGGGAGACTTCAGTGCTCCCAGGGGTGTGCAGTACAATCCCTTAGGTGGAGGCCAAGACTTCTTCAAACCCTGGCCTGGACAACACAGCAAGACTGCATCTCTAAAAAAATTAAAAATTAAGGCCAGGTGCAGTGGCTCACGCCTATAATCCCAGCACCTTGGGAGGCCAAGGTGGGAGGATCACCTGAGGTCGGGAGTTCAAGACCAGCCTGACCAACATGGAGAAACCCCATCTGTACTAAAAATGCAAAATCAGCCGGGCGTGGTGGTACGTGCCTGTAATCCCAGCTACTCGGGAGGCTGAGGCAGGAGAATCGCTTGAACCCAGGAGGCAGAGGTTGCAGTGAGGTGAGATCGTGCCACTGCACTCCAGCCTGGGCAACAAGAGCGAAACTTCGTCTCAGAAAACACAACTCCCCAAGCACAACTGTAAGACAAGATTTTGATGGGTTTGTTTCCATACAATTTTAGGTAGAACAAAACTAATAATGGCAACAGATAAAAGAAGGCGTCTGCAGCCTTTAAAGCTGGCAGGGACGTGCTATATAGAACTCCACACATCAAAGAAAGGAGACAGGAATCCTCATGGAAACACAGGCCAAGGCCCAGTGTGGGCAGCTCACAGGAAGCTGGGGTGCTGGCTGCTCCCTGCAGACGGGAAGGTTGGAAAGCCGGCAGCACAGCCAACTGAGAGTCCGTCCCCTTCGACCCAGCCACTCTGTCCGGCAGGGCTCCCAGGTGGCCAGGGCACAGGGCCAGAGTCCTCACAGAGGGTGCCCTGCACACACCTCCAGCCTCAGAAGGAGCACTGAACTGGAGCGTGGGCTGCTGACCGCCACCGCTTCCACTTCCACCAGCTACACCCCTAAGTATGTCCCTAAATGTTACAAAAACTGGTATAAAAATTTACAGCCAAAGAAAGCTGGTGCGGCGGGGTCTGGGCCTGGGCCTTTCCCAGTGTGCCAGGGACCCAGCAGGCCTGCTGTGCCAGTTGTCCTGGCTTCCTTGCCTCCCTCCCTCCCCCTCCCTCAAAAGCAACACAGCTTGAAAAACCACCCGCCCAAACGCAATTGTGTAAAGTACAACTCCAAAGACCCTCCCCAGGCCGGGACCCCCTTTAGGTGAGCATGCAGGTGTCCCTCAGAGGGCTTCCATCGTGGTGTGGGCACCCGCAGCAGCCAGCCCTGAAGCTCTTGGGTAGACAGCCCTGAGGCCACCAGAGCCACTTTGTCACCAAGAGCAGGAGCCCGGGAGCTCCTGGGAGGTGGCGCCTTCCTGGGAGGGTCCTTGGCCAGTGACTGAGCAGAGGAAGAGCCTACAGCTGCACCCAGGTGAGGAAGCACCTATCCGTGCCTCCCCGGCAGAGTGCCACCGCAGGACCTGGGGAGATGGTGCCCGCTCGTCCTACCTCCCCTCCCGCCTGCTCACTGCTTTCCTGGTTTCTGGAACACTTACCCAGTCCAGGCCATGTCCAGGGCTCCATCTCAGGAGCCTGCAGGCTGAACTTGGCCACAGCAGAGATGTCTCATGCAGAGGCCCTCAGACTCTCCTGGTCTTGACCTGGAACCCGTCCTGCAGGGCTTCCCACTATGGCAAGGCACAACACAGGTTCCAGAACAGCCTGGAGGGATTTCTTTCTTTTTTTTTTTTTTTTTTTGAGACGGAGTTTTGCTCTTGTTACCCAGGCTGGAGTGCAATGGCGCGATCTTGGCTCACCGCAACCTCCGCCTCCTGGGTTCAGGCAATTCTCCTGCCTCAGCCTCCTGAGTAGCTGGGATTACAGGCACGTGCCACCGTGCCCAGCTAATTTTTTGTATTTTTAGTAGAGACGGGGTTTCACCATGTTGACCAGGATGGTCTCGATCTCTCGACCTTGTGATCCACCCGCCTCGGCCTCCCAAAGTGCTGGGATTACAGGCTTGAGCCACTGCGCCCGGCCTTTCTTTCTTTTTTATGTTTTTTTTTTTTTTTTTTTTTTTTTTTTTTTTTGAGAAGGGGTTTTGCTCTTGTTGCCCAGGCTGGAGTGCAGTGGTATGATCTCGGCTCACCACAACCTCCACCTCCCAGGTTCGAGCGATTCTCCTGCCTCAGCCTCCTGAGTACTTGGGATTACAGGCTTGCGCCACCACGCCCAGCCAACTTTGTATTTTTAGTAGAGATGATGTTTTTTCATGTTGGTCAGGCTGGTCTTGAACTCCCAACCTTAGGTGGTTGGCGCGCCTCAGCCTCCTAGAGTGCTGGGACTGCAGGCGTGAGCCACCGCACCCGGCCTGGCTGGAAGGATTTCAGTAGGTGGAAGGGGGCACCTGGAACAGCAAGCTGAGCTTGGGGCTCGCCAGTGGAGTGGTCCTGGGAGGCTGCCAGCAAGGTGAAAGGCTCCAGGAGATGCCTCCTGCTGGGCGCCAAGGAGGAGGGAAGGGGTAGAAGGCTGGGAGAAAAAGGAGGGGAGGGGGAGGGGGAGGGGGAGGGGGAGGACAGTGTGGGAGGGGGAAGGAGGGCTAAGAAGAGGAGGGGGGAGGAGAAAGGAGGCAGAGGGGGAAGGACAAGGAGGAGCGGGAGGAGGGGCCGGCGGAGGAGGGGAGGAGGGCGCAGGGATTGGGGGAAGGCTAGGACCCTTCCTGTCCTTTTGCAGATGGGGCCCTGAGCATGGGATGTGTCTGAGGTCACCCCTCAGGCATTAGCAGAGCCAGCACTGTGACCCAGGTCTCCCAATCTCCCCAGCCCCACGGTGAAACCCTGGCCCACCACTCAGCACAAGCTATGTAACCTCAAGGAGCCTCAGTTTCCCTCCATGTTAAGAGCGCTTGCTCAGCCTGCCTGGCTGGGCTTCCAGCAGAAGTGGCACCTGTGGCTGTTCCCGCAGAATCCCACCTCCACCTGACCCTCCAAGGCAGCAGCTGTGACAACTACAGCCAGTGCCAGCCCTCACATCCCTAAGCAAATCAGGCTCCCAGAGGACGGCAGCATTTGCATTCGGGTGTGTGGAGGCCCAGGGAAGTGGGCTGCCTCTGTTTGCAGCTCTGAGCCCCACACCCCCTCTTCAAACAAAGATAGTTCCTGCTCCAAAGCCCGGAGGACTTGCCCTGGCCAGCTGTGCTGGGTGCCTCCCCTGCCTGCTTCCCGCCCCGTGCAGGCACCGTGAGGGCAGGCGAGTGGCTGCCATTGCCTGGGCGGGGCTCCAAGGACCACCCCTCCCCACCCTCTGCCCCAGGATGGCCCGACTCTACTGCCCAGACCAGGCTCATGCTGGGAAGTGGGCCATGACCTCCGAGGCCTCTTCTGGAAGCCACTGTGCCAGGTGGGGACCCACCC